TGCTGAGCATGTTCGGCCGACCCGAAGCCACGCGAAGCAAGCCGATGTACGGCTGATTTCAGCCGATGTACGGCTGAAATCAGCCGTACCAGCCTGAAGTGAATAGCCGAACAGTGTTCGGCTCACTTCACTTCAGATCGGTGATTCACTCGGCTGCCCTCGGCAGCTTAGTGAATAGACCCCTAGGTGCTGCTCAACAATTCCACCTCTTAACCAGGCAAGCTTGGTTGGGTGCTCCTCGTGCAGTTTCACAATCTCCAAACGCCAGTACTGTCCAAAATAGAAAAATGTCTTTATTAAAGAATAAGTGTAGTTTCAGGGAAAGTGCACTTATTCTTTTTGCCCCTCCCCTGACCTAACAGAGCCTACCCTACCAACATCGGACAGCGGGCTTTGCGTGCTTGTTTATATCCCGTGACTAAGTCCTCTCTCTGCTTACCATGCAGTACAGCCTCATAGACCCAACCCCGTGACCCGAGTCATGTATATAAAGAATTACGGATATAAGCAATGAGGTAACTAACAAGTATTATACAATATACCTTAATACAAAGAGTCAAGACACTAAAAACAAACTAAGAAAACTAAACATAGGTAAACTAAAAGTTAGTGCGACAAATGTTGCAACTAGCAAGAGATTTATGTACTTGTTGGAAACACGTACATGAATTTGTCACATAGGGGCACCACTGAGGTCGGACTGTCCATACTAGAGTCTTCCTCCTCACTGTCTGTTCAGCTCCCAGGCTGCACAGTGTCACTGGGTGTTAGAATGTGGTCAGCTGCACAGAGTTACTGGTTGCTAGTACACTGTTGGCTGCAAAGCCTTTTTGGTTGCTAGGACACAGTTTGGCTGCCTGCACAGCATCATTGGTTGCTAGGAAACTGTCAGCTGCACAGCGTCTGGCTGTTAGCAGCACAGCTCCATTGGCTGCTAGGACATTGTCAGCTGCATAGCATCATTTGTTGTAAGGACACTGTGGGCTGCACAGCGTCTTTGGTTCCTCGGATGCTGTCAGCTGCATAGCATAATTTGTTACTAGGATACTGTAGGCTGCATAGCATCACTGGTTGTTAGGATGCTGCTGGCTGCATAGCATCTTCTGTTGCTAGGAAGCTGTCAGCTGTGCAGCCGACAACACCACAGCAACCAATGAGTCTGTGCTTTCAACGACGTCCTAACAACCAGTAACAAGGATGGGGGGGAGCACACGAACTTGCCCTGCTCTTTACTACACTGTGGCCCCCCACTCTGAGCCCCAGACTGTCTCTGTAACCCAACTTAGAATTGGTCTTAAGTACCTCCCGTTACCTTATCTAAGAACTGGCAGGGATTATTTTTTAATTCATCGCAGCCATAGTGACACATTGTGAAAGTGACACATATAGGAATTACCCGAATCTGTTGCACGGTCGCACATGTCGGAACGCTTAACAAAACTGTTAGAAGGCTTTCATGAACAAAGTTCAGGTCTTTCTAAAGGGACCATATTGCCAGCAAAAAAGTGTGGAAAACGCTGAAACTGAATCACCACCTATATCGTAAATACTGCTGAAAGCCGTACGTCTAGATGTACTAACCTGTAAGAGCTGGATGTTGCCTCCTTTGGTAGGGGTATGTGGTGGGGTAGGGGTGATATGTAGTAGGAGCTGTGCAGATGTATACAGTGCGGCGTCACTGGTGGAGATGGACTGAACATGTACTGAAGCACTGGCCACTTCATCAGGAGAAGTAGAGGAACCGACAATGGTGGGAGGCTCAAAAATCAGTTAGCGTTTTATATAAATGTATTATGTAATCAGACGCTGCGTAAAAATTTGATGTCTGACAGGTTTCACACTTGTGATGACGAATTAAAAAAATTATAACAATAATGAAGACAACTGCATGTGTTGCCTATAGCAACTGTTTATGTGGAATTCTTATATTTGCAGAAAAATGCAGCAATTGAGTTGATATCAAAACAGAAGATCTCGTCCTTACCTGATGTCTTCAAAGAAAGCTTCCAGGCAATCCCTTTGCTCGGCCAGGGAGAGTTCTATATCCAGGTAGTTTCCATTGGAAGATAGCTGCAGAGTGCAGTCCTCGAGCTGGAAGGAAGAAAAAGAGGCGGTGAAATGTTTCATCCAGGTACTATGATTTCCATCCTGTGCGGGGAAAGGTCACCTTGCTATAGAAAGCCAAGTGTCCCCTGTACAGGTTAAATGGTCACTGAATAGCTAATGTTTCCCCCAGAGCAGTCACGAGGTTCCGTACACTATTCACAGTGCAGGCTGAGAAACTGCTTAACTCTTATGGATGGAAGGAAGGTGGTCAAAAATGTGAGCAATATAACAAAGATAGGAAAACGCAACAACTGAAAAATGATTTGATTTATCTGTAATTTGTCATTTATATATGGAACCATCAGTACTATGAAACTAAATACGTAACATGGAACCCACAGAAGGAAGCGAACAAAGAAGCCTAGTTTTTGACAGAACCCCTTTTGGGATAGAACCTGTTGCAGCGATTTCACCCTTACTTCCTGTCCTGGCTGCACAAAGACAGGAAGTGATATAAAATATTTTCAATTAGTAGTACATACACACACATTATATATATATCTATAGATATATATCTATAGATATATATATAGATGTATATAGATGTATATATAGATGTATATAGATGTATATATAGATGTTAAAAAAAAACAACAATGTAGTATTGCAGGGTGCAATGATACCTTTCTTATCGGACTAACAAAATATATAAAAGACAAGCTTTCGAGAGTGAACCTCTCTTATTCAGGTCAGAAGCAAAACTGACATACATATACACATACATACATATACACATACATACATACACACCCACACACTGTATGTGTATATGTATATATATTGCCAACAGTTTACTCAGAGCTTTATATACTGCACATCCACATCAGTCCCTGCCCTCAAGGAGCTTACAATCTAAGGTCTCTATCACATGCATACATACATATACTAGGACCAATTTAGACAGGAGCCACTTAACCTACCAGCATGTCTTTGGCGTGTGGGAGGAAACCGGAGAACCCGGACAAAACCCCCACAAGAGTGCTACTGTTCCAACACCTTGAATAAAAGTGTGCCACTATTTTATCACCCCATGTGTCAGTGTGCCACTATTCCAGAACACTTTGTGGCAGTATGCCAATGCTCTCACACTCTTAATGGCAGTGTGCCACTATTGTAGGTCCTCATATATCAGTGTGCCATTGCTCCAACACCTCGAAAGACACATGTAAGTATTGAAGCACTCTATAAGTCAGTGTGCCACTAATCTGTGTCACCAAATAGTTGCCAAAGACCCATGTTGGCTTCCATGAAGCTTCTTAGAAAACCATCATAAAACAAGACTTTTCCGTAGCCCATGTGTCCTAAAGTCCCTATTCCAGCACCTGAAATGGAAATTTGTTACTATTCTATCACCTTAAGGAAGTGTGCCACTATTCTAGCACTCCATGTGTCAGTGTGCCACTGTCCCATGGCACCAAATACTGAATGGCATGGAATGTTTTTGCCCCCAATCCAAACTTAAAGAAGCCTGATAAAACAATTGACAAGACTTTTCCACAGCCATTTTTGCTGCCTGCTCCACTGTGCCAGGTCCACAGGCACTCTGGCCTGTCAGTGAAATGATGTTTATGAGGAATTTTGTTCCATTACGTAATCCAGCCAGCACGGTGCAGGAACACAGCAAAACATCCAGAAACCACGACCGTTCCAAAAAGCCATAATCTCAAAAGCATCCTAAAAATAAGTCTTTAAAGAGAACCCTTCTTGGGGGTTCACATACACCTCAGCCATCATGTATGTTGAGCCATACTTTAACTTTTACATAAAAATCTGATGTATCTGAAAAAGAGCTGGCTATGTTGCCTATAGCAACCAGATTCTGATTGCTTTTTTGCCATTAAAATGGAACAAGATATGGAAGAATGCAATTTAGGGAAGCATAGTGATTTGTGTATCACTTAAAATAGTCAGGTAAGGTATGGAATACAGAACAAGTGACAGTCTTCTTCTCTAAGTCCTCCTATCTTACATCTATGTTCAAAATGCCAAGTGCTGGTAGTGTTGGTGGCTTTGAAAATCAACTGTGCCTAAAATCCTCCTCAAAGAACAAAACAGGGCTCTGTGGTCCAGGACTAGCGCTCTTTCAGGTTGAGTGATCTACATCTTGTGAGCCAAGGATATCAAAACCCATTGGAGTTTTTACCCATCAAGCCAGCCTAGACTAGCAAAAGAATGCTTAAGTGAGCCCTGTGGAGAATTCACGACTTGCCCACCGCCAGAAGAAAAAGAGAAGGAAGAGGATCCATGACGTCCCTTAACTGGTCCAAAGACTGCAAGAAAAAAGGTGGGTATGCCCAAAAAATAAGTGGGCAAATGGAAACTCCAAGGATGATGGTGCCGGGAACAGTGGGGAGGAAGAAAGCTGAGGTTAAAGTCACATCACACAAAGACTACCTCACTGGGTCAATAGATAGGCAGTAGGAATTCCTCCTTCTCTGCTTGTAGTTTCACCAATCACCTCCAAACTGTATGTGATTGGTGGCTGTTGGAAACACCAAATCAAAACAATGATTGGACATCCTTTTCCAACCTGTTGATTCATGTTTCCCCCAAAATATTCATCTGAAGTTGCTTCACTATTATTAAAGTATTTCCCGACTGGCCAAAAACAACCAGATTGGGGCATGATCATCCCATGTGTACCACTATCTTTATATGGAAGAATAGGCAAGAAGCATACGGTAAAGCAGAGTTCAAATGTGTGTCAGAAGGCAAGGTGCTTTGATACCCATCCATAAAGGTCCATAGAGATATTTCATTATTTAGAATGGTATGCATCTGTTCTAACAATGTCTCCCTTAATGATGATTTCCAGACAGGGCCCACGATTATGAATAATAAGACCGAGCTCAGATGGTGAGTAGAGCTGGAACGGAATCTGTGTATTTCTGGAGTATTTTCGCAGACCTCTAAGATTCGGTGATGCTTATCTTCTCATCACTCCGCACCTTGGCTGTGCATCAGAAAGGTCTCAAGCTGAACAAATAGTGTTAATTGTTTTCAAGTTGAGAAGACCTGCGGGGCAAGGATCCTCCGCCAGAGATACAGAGTATTAGGGGGAACGCCACGTGCACGGTGGGGGGGAGCCGTCACGGGATTGTGCTGCAATGACTCATCATTCTTCACAGATTAAGAAATTGTTACATTAAACAGATAGAAAATAAACAGCTGATTGTAGGAGATGAAAGAACTAAATGGGTTTTTTAAAAACACATCTTGCAGATAGTTATTTGAATTCCTAAAGATAAAAGGGGCCCGCCGTCCAAAACAGGACATTTTTGCATTTATGCTGAGCCAACACATACAACCTTTTGGCGCTAAAGGTACCCCAAAGAGAAGAGGCGAAGTCTTGCCAGACTGGGAAAAGGTTTTGTGTCTATGGGTGGGTTCTGACTCTTTTGGTTGTCCACCTTTTACTCAGGAAACAGAAATCCCCACATGGGAAATTATTGTCCTAAAACCACAGAGGAAGCACAAGTCCCAGAATGTGGTGTCATCATTTAATAGCTATCAAGGAACCACAGGTCCAAGCATGTTATTCAATGGCTACAGAGATACTGAAAGTCCCAGCATGCAGAGCTGCCTTTCCAATGCTACTAAAGAAGTCCCAACATGCTGACCTATCATCTAAAACCTACTGAGGAACCAGAGGAATCAGCACACTGAGATGATTACTAAGATTCCACAAGTCCAAGCATGCTGAGCTGCCTTTCCAAAGCCATTGAAGAACCACAAGTCTCAACATGCTGACTTCTCATCCTAGCACATGGAGATGACTACTGAGGATCCACAAGTTCCAACATGCTGAGCTGACTTTCCAAAGCTACTGAAGAACCACAAATCCAAGTACATCAACCTAAGACCATTCAGCATAGAATTTAAAAGTCCTAGCACGTCCTACTGCTAGCGTGCCACATAGGATTACAAGCCCCACTGTTCCACTTCATCCTTAGATGCTCAGGGACATCATGACCCATCAACTCAACCTTTCTACTATACACCACACAGGAACTATAATTTCCAGCACCTCCTGCAGCTAACAAAATTCTAGCTTGCAAACTATGATCTGTAGAAATTCTAAGAACACTCTTCCCGTCATACAAGCCACAAGAATAAATGTAGTAAAAATATTAAAAACAATACAAAAAATCATAAGCAGCCAAATAGTAAATCCATCATCTTAAATCGCCCCCTTAGGTGGATTTCGAAGGACCTCGTAAAAGGAGACGGCACCACCATTCTTTCCTGACACTCCACTCATAAATAAAACCCATGTGTGGAAATTTCAGCTCGAGGTACATTGGCCACAAGCCTCGCTGTAACATGGTACAGAAATGTGAACTATGCGAGCGTACTGTCCGTGTTACGCGCACATCTGGATCGAGTTCTGCGTGCGTCGGCTCGTGGTGATATTATCAGAAGGGGCTTCTTGGGTTGTTCAACATACTAGGTGAAAATAAACAGCTTGTTCACATTGAAGAAAGACAAGGAGGACACTTCTCAGCTGGAGTCACAATGAACCATGAAGTTGAATGTTCATGGATGAAGCCTTGCATGCATACATACTAGGGTTGCACCGATACCAATACTAGTATGGGTGCCAATACCAAGTATTTGGCCGAGTACTTGTACTGGCCCAAATGCTCCAAAACCTTCCCAGATACCGGCACTTCCGGGCAGAGGGAGATTTCCTCTGACCGGCAGTGCCACAAGGGAACATGGAGCCGGCTTCCCAGCCAATCAGCATGGAGCTCGCTTTCTGGACAATCAGGAAGCCGGGTGGCGGGTAATGACCCGCCTCCCGGATTGGCCGGGAAGCCGGTTCCATGGTGAATGGCCAGAAGACTGGCTTCCCAGCTAATGAGCATCGAGCTGGGCATTAAGCCAGCTGTTTTCCAGGCAAACAGCATCGAGCCGGCTTCCCTAGGGAAGCCAGCTCCATGTTAGCGGAAGTACCTGTATTGGCGAGTACCGAAATATAAATT